AGAACTTGTGACCTTTCTGAATACCGCCTAAATCAAGACGTTACAAAATCTGTTGGTTAAACACTGACATTAATATGATACCATAGTGTAGTGGATTAAGTCGCTGGCTCGTAAGAGTAAGCTCATGTGTACGGATCAGGCAAGGTTCGGCAAGTGTGCACTATTGACCAATCCCAAAAAGAGGAAACGGCAATCTAGCGCTTCCCTGAATTTGTTGTGCCTGTCTGGCTGAGTCTAGCTGTGATGAATCTTCTCGAAAACACAATAAATTCCCCTGCCACTCACCATTTATCCTATTCTCATGTTTTTCCATACTCTCTTCACCATAGATCTGACGCTCTTGATTCTTCTCAGGTTGGTCTGCCTTACCGATTGCATATCCCGTTCGCTCGTGTTCAAGGTATGAGCACTCGACATGGGAAGGGTCTATTCCTCTCAGATATTCTGGACACTGCACGTGATAGTGTACTTCGGCGAATGCAGAACTCGCAAAGTAAGTTGGAACCAGAATGTATTGGTTCCCCCTAATAATTCGACAGATCTTTTCATTACTTTTCAACTTGGTAATCTGAAGGGTCATGAACGACTTCCTTGCATTTCCCATGGAGTATGAGTTTCTGATGCTCAGATATTAAACCTAGCCCATTTAGACGACTTAGCTCTCATTTCGTCAGTCATTCATCATTTTACACGTTAGCTGGAGGGGGAAATACTTTAGTTGTTTTGCCGCAATCTTCTAAATACTGTATTATAGAGCAAATAAATATAAAATTCTGTACAACTTACGAAATCTGGTAAAAACATGGTAAAAATTGTCAACCTTGAATATCGTTGTCGTTCTCTCATGTAACCTTTAAAATATCTGACTTACGATATTTCAGGACTCACAAATGTGATATGTCATCGTACGTGTGCAATCGTTCTCTGAATCGAATAGTGGTAAAATATAAATTTAACAACGTTCTAAACTGCTGCGCAGATGTTGCCTCAATCACATGTTCTGGTAAACTGTTCCAAATGTTTACCACTCTCCGTTCGAAGCACAGTGGGTGGGGAACACATTTCACATCCGGAACGACAAGTTTGTATCTGTGTCCGCGTGTGCTGCATGGCCCTCGTAAATGCAGCATTGGTCTTAGCATTGTGAGGTCACAGAGATGTAGAATACGGTAGGTCATAATAAGGTCGACTCGCACCCGACGGTAGGACAAGGTGTAGAGTCCTAGTTTCTCGTACCGGTCTTCATACCCCAAGCCACATAAACTCGAGATCAGCCTGGTAGCAACGTGTTGTATCCGTTCGGTCTTTTGTGCTTCGCCGCGGGTAACCGGAAAGTAGGCGGGCGAACCGTACTCTATCATTGGTCTAGTGATGGAGGAGAAGAGGCGAGTGGCAATCTCCTCAGACCATGTGCTGAAGCTACGTTTGAGCGCCCAAAGCATGCGCAGTCCGTTACGATATAGCCTGTTCGTGTTGTCCACGGACTTCAAATCGTAGCGCGAGAGTACACGTAGTTCGTTCACGGAGGGTGTGGGATATTGCGGTTGGCAGTCAAGAGTGTAGCTTCGGCCGGCAGCAACCATCCCCAGGCTCATAAATACGGACCTGGCTGGGTTGATCGGGAGAAGTACTTCTGCAGACCATGTGGATAGGTGGTTGAGGTTTTGCTGAAGTACGTCCCAGTTGTCGAGCGCGTCAATTTTTCTCTAGATCTTCATGTCGTCTGCAAACAAGGCACACAGCGACCGGAGAAGCTGCGGTAGATTGTTGATGTGGATCAGGAACAGAGTAGGTCCCAGGACAGTGCATTGAGGCACACCACTTGTGAGGGATACCAGTCAGTTAGATGGTCGTCGACCTGTACCCTTCACTTTCGTCTAACAAGAAAGTCGCGGATCCCCCGGTGCAGTGAGCCACCGACACCACACATCTTGAGTTTGTGAAGGAGAACCTCATGGCTGACCTTGTCGATCGCTTTACTGAAATTGCTGAATATCACGTCGACAGACTTCCCCTTGCTTATTGCCTTCAACCACTCATACCTCGTCACAAGCAGGTTGGTAATGCATGAGCGGGCTTGTATAAAACCGTGCTGTGGGGGCGTCAGGACCTCTTTTGACTGTAGCGACTGCAACAATTCTTTCTTCACGATTTTCTCAGCAACCTTTGTCAAAATAGGTGTCAGACAAATTGGCCTGTAGTTGTCTACTTTGCTAGGGTCGTCGCCTTTCGAAATAGGCTTCACCACCGATCATTTCCAGTCAACCGGCAACGAGCCTTCGGACAGCGACCTGCTGTAAAGGTCAGTTAGGACAGGAGAGAGGATGATCGGAAGTGACTTGAGAACCAGTGGGTGAAGTCCATCAGGTCCGGTAGGTTTGGTGCCGTGAAGGTTGGCGAGTAGTTGACATAACTCTTCAACGCCGCAAGCCAGACTGTCGGGTTGGGTAAGAGAGATACATGTAGAGCTCGGAACGGACACCTGCAGTATTGTTATATTCTCCTCCCTTGCCGCTCCGCAATACCTCCATACCAACCGAAGGAAAAACCAGAACGCAAATGACCTTGACAAAATAACACGTTAAGCGCCGGGAAAGACGCATTACAACTGAAGCAGATCTTCAGGAGGTTGGCAGTCACGTGCAAAACTTAGAACATCCCAAGCAGTTCGGAATCGATGCGATAATCAGTAACAGTCGATTCCTATCTTCTGATCAAGTAAGGCACAAGATGGAAACAAGTAATATTATCTTTATTATTATGCATCGACAGTGTGATCGGGCTTGGAGTAAGAAACCAAGCGAGATGAAGATGGACAAGCCATCGGCGCCTAGTTAAACCTAGCCTCTATTCAGGCGCTGCTGATTGGTCTGGCGCGTAACGCTTCATTTTATGCCTTAAAAGTGCATGTGGACTGGATCGATTGACTACGATTTCTCGCAGTTACCGACCACCATCCGATGTGGTTGATTACCTCTGACGATCATAGAATTAGACAGGTCGTTCCATTTGCAGTGGTCGTCCTTCGCCTAATTTTACCGTTGGCTATTGGTCAGATCCTCGAGGTCACTGGCCCCCATAGCGAAGAGAAAGGACCGGTTTCGGATGAGCATAGGAGGCGGGTTGTATTGGTTGATCACACTGTCCAATATAAAGGTCAGACGGAATTTTGCTGAACGTTATATGAAGCTCACGTGGAACTATTTATACCATTTCCCGGCCAAGTTGTCCTTTTGGGCAACAGAAATAATCTGAGGGGGCATTCACCATGAGTCTACTCAATTAATTTGTTCCGTGCGTACGCCAGTCACTTGTGCAGATTTGTAGGTGTGCATGTATAGCCCGTCGCGTTCAGCCAATTACACGTCAGACGTACTAAGTCATAGGGGTGCAAGTGGGACGCTTCAGCTCCTACGCCCGGAACAAATTAATTGAGTGGACTCATGTTGAATGCCCCGTCAGATTATTTCTGTTGCCCAAGAGAACAACTTGGCCGGGAAATGGTGTAGAATGGTCAAGTTACAACCAATCAGGCATTTCCGATTTCGTGCTTAATGGCCAGTTCCTTACATGTTCCTTCAATTTACGTGGGTGAGTGACGGCTCACGGGCCATGTTTTGGCTCCGTATGGGCGATCGGCGCCTCGGCTGCTTGCTTTAAGATATCCGTCTTAACATCATTTATCGTTGAAATCTATCTAGCATCTCGGAGCTTCGATCATTTGCGGAGACAAATGCATGGTAACGCACTGTATAAGGGACAGCTTTATAACGCTACGGCACCGCTGCGCGGTAAGGAATCATAGGATATTGACGTCGTTTAATCACCCATGTTTACAACACTGCTCCGATGCCTCTTGGGACTACTTGATGAACTTGAGTCTGTACGGGTTCGGTCATGTGCCCCGCTTACCGCCTTGGCCTGTTATCTTTGTCTATGCTACACCCAGTTGGTTGAAGCCCCCATAGTTACCAGTCAATGGTTTGACAACAGACATCACTCAACGAAAGTCTGATTCTCTACGACCTACCGCTGGCGTATTCGGTGCTGGTGATGTGGTTGCATTTGACCACTCTAATCCATGCTCTTGAGTTATCGTTGTCATGGTTTTGGCTGCACGAGTCAAAGTAACTAGATTCACCGCATTTTGGCTCATTGATCATTATCGAGGAATGGTGCAACTGTTCTGCATACTGTATTACGGGAGCAAGTTGCAGTTTTAATCTGTGCAACCGCATCGGAATACAGTCAAGGCTGTTATAAAAAGTACCTGTCTTCTGTTGGTCCCCTAATCGTTCGTCATCTACTTATGTAGCACTTAACACTGTCATTGAGCTCACAAATGTGAGATGCCATTATCAGTGTTCAATCGTTCCCTGAATCAAATAGTGGTGCAATGTTAATCCCGCAAAGTTTTGAATTGTTGCATAGATTTGGTCTGCACAACTCGTTCTGACAGACTGTTCCAAACACTTACCCCTCCGTTCGAAACACAAGCGATGCGAAACACGCTTCAATTTCTATACTAGAAGCTTGTACCGGCTTCTGCACGTTCTGTATGGTGTTTGCAAAAGGAGGCGGAGATTTCAACATGAGATGTCCACCGCGATGCAATATGCAACAAAACCAAACCAACAGCAGTACATCAGCCATTTGAACGGATGCTTTGCTGCCATACAACCATGATGACCTATGTATTAAGGAATAATAAGACCGAGAGAAGTGGGACTTACCTGAAAACCTTAATGACCTAAGCAAACATTCAGGGTCAAGGCGCCTACACCTTGTGTAGACAATATACCGTCACAAACAGTTGGCTACCGTGCAAAGATAAGGCGGCATCGGCGAGACAGCTTCCTTGCAGTTTTCACTGTCCCGCATCCTAATCAGCCATTACACCGCAGATGAGTCAGCATCAAGCACACTTTAAACAGACAATCCGATTTGGAGACGGCAGCAGATGCCCCACTGGTGTCGGTTGTGAGCCATGTCCTGTAAAGTCTCTAGCCAAGCACAAGGCGAACTACGTGGACTCCAGCCCGGAAGGCGAGACGGACCAACGGCACCCAGTTTGGTTGTCAGTGACTTCATTTCCCGCTGTCAAGTCAACTTCTATCCACCTCGAACCTTGCGCCACCGTACACCTGGCAGACAAACAAGGCCCTCCTAGGTAAGCGGTGACCAGACATACGTGGCACATGCCCTAGCCAACGCAACTTATTCAATGCTATCTGTTGTTTTAGGGAGCTATCATGATTATCACTACCTAGTACTCGCCTACGCACTTCATTGTTGCGGACACGCTGGTGCCATCCGACATCATCAATGCTTTGCAGACAACGATGATCAACGACTTGAAGGCGTCTCAAATCTTCAGACCGAAGGGGCCAAGTCTCATTACATAGAGCAGAACGGCCCTCACTGTTGCCTTGTATACACGGCCTTTCAGACGGCGGGAAACTCCATTTGTTGCCAAAGATGCCGCGGGTTCAAGAAGGTAGCTCTGGCTTTTGCAATGCGTGAGCTGACGTCAGTTTCTATGCGTCCATCGTTGCTGTTGCAGCTGCCAAGATAAGTGAATTGATCAATCAGCTCGAGCTCCTCGTTAGCAAGTGTCAATGTGTCATAAAGCGGCTAGTGGTTCTGCAACATCAATTTGCATTTTGAATGTGCGAAGCGCATATTAAATATTGGGGCCAATGTAGACTGGCTATTCAGTTTTGATTGTACCGCCACATCAATATGCGGTAGATCGGGATAAGATGGGACAAGGTGTGGAGTTCTACTTTCTTCCGTCAGTCTTCGTGCGGATCTCCTCGCTTTTTTGCACGGAAGGAGCCTGATATCAACATGTTGAACCTGATCGATATTCGGTATCTCGCCTCTAGCGATTGGACAGTAGGCGAGCGAGCTTTACTTTGACATTGGTATTATAATGGAAGAGGAAAGGCAATTCACAACCTGAATTACTCTGGCAGCGATTTCATAGCCTCGCATTCTTTCTCTTTCACTTGTGCGTTGATAATCACCTACAAATTCCCTACTTCCCATTATCGCAACACATGAGCATTTGTTTTGTACAATACATAATCAAATGTTTCCTCTTTTATCTCTGTGTTCGTATTCGTGGAACGAGGGATTTACCTTTTCCTGCGTTGTTGGCTTGCTTTATTTATACGGAGGATGTTAACCCGCTTGATATCACTTACTGACATTTCATCTGGTCTTGAGAACCATTTACTTAGGTGCTTACGGCTTCTGTGGACCGATCTCAAACGGCGTTCGATCGTTGTCACTGCACCGTTACCGATATTTTACCTTCGCCACTCTATGAGCAAAAATTACATTGAGCAGTAACCCGTCGGAATTCCATTTTAGTGAACACTGGGTATGCGTTATTATATTTTTTTTATCGTGTACAACTACATCGTGATGCAGGAGGCGCTTTGCCCTTCTACTTTGCAGGTAACATTATTTCGCCGTTAGGTTTAATTGCTATCCGGATGTATTCGCTCCACGTTCAGTACGGCCCATTCTAGATCGGTGAGCGACGCTGCTAATAATTAGCCGACGCTCAGTGTGCAATCGTAATAAACGCCTATCATTTTCCCTGCATTTACATTTACACCCAAAATTGCCATCCGACTGAGCTTCTGAGGAACTCAGCCTACCCACCTGCGTATTTGTATCCCCTGTAACTAGAACAATATTTACACTGGTGACACTGTAAAGTGCTGTGCTAACTTTGCATCCTTGGTAGGATTAGGACTGCAGTCGGTGGGCGCTTAAGCGGTTACCACAAACTAGCAGTGTCTATATCTACTCCGTGAGTTAAGCTAGTTTGATATCTTCTCAGACGAGCTGCACACAAATTGTTTCTCACGGGAATCCAATCAGTTGCGGTTGACTATGCCCCGAAGCTGAGAACAGTGACTTGTAGTTGCGGCTCCAATGTTTCCGGATGCATGTACTTGTTAGCGAGAGGAGAGGCTGGGCGCAGTTTGTCCTGACAGATAACGGACGTCAACTCCCAGGGTGTCTATTGGGAATACAAATGTAGCCTGTTGGCTTTACTGGAATACCAATATTGAACGCTGGCAAAAAGTGATCGATCTGATTCTGATAAGGGGCTGTGGATGACAATGTGGACATAAACCTACAGGCGGCATAAATTCATTGACACTGAAACTACCGTTAATCAAATTGGTATTGTAGAATGATGGCCTCAGTTGTTTCTGTGCGCCCACTGCTTTGCGATTCTTCCTGAGTAGCAGTGACACTCCACTTACCAGTCCCACAGAGGTATTTCCGAGATGAATTATGACGGTTTTACTGCATTCAGTCTCCACCAATCCGCGTGACGATGATGTCACTTAGGATGACACAGCAATACATGCTTGGCGCGACTTCCAAACGTTTGATCTGAACTTATTATAAGAGTCGGACAATTTTGCTTCCGACATTTCATCACCACTCGAGTTGACATCGCCATCGTTTCACCGGGTAGCGGAGAATCCAGCTGAATGGGTTGCCAATCTTTGGTCGACCATTTAAGTACATGCCCCATGACGTTTACTCCTTCGCCGCCTTTTTCTCTCTTATGCTGTGGTCTATGATCCGCTCAATCCCTTTCTCAGTTGTTGGTACACAATATTTAGGTCAGCGCGTAGATTTACTGAATTTTCTGTAGAGAACCACGCTTCGAGGAATTCTTTTCCCTTTCTCACATCTATCTGCGTCAGAATTTTCGTTTTGTCCTAGTCGCTGCATCCTCTATCATTGATCTGCGCTCATATCAGCCATGTTGCGTAATGGTTTTAACAGGCGCGATTTTGATCTTGTATCCTTATTCATGCATTTCTTATACATGAATGGAAGTACCGCACCTGGGCGGATGGCTTTGCCGTTTATCGAAAACTTATCAGAACTAACCGCCAGACTCATCGAGTCACACTACTTGATGACAGCTCACGTACCAATCGCCATCCTGAAAAGAACCCTGTCTAGACCAAAAGGAAAAACGGAAACGTGGTTCACTACAGAGAATTCAGGGAATTTGCTCACTGACTTAGATCCTGTTTTCTAGGATTTGAGAAAGAAAACGGACGGATTATAAGCCATAGCATGGGGAAGAAAGTGGCATCGGACGAGTGAAGGTCCCGGGATATGAATCAGTGACTTAGGTTCAAATGTCACCAGAGACCGACGACAAATGCGGCCGGATTGCCAGGTATACGGTGCAACATGAACGCGGCCACCTCGGTTCGTTGAGCCAACCAACACATCACTAGCCAACCGTAGTTACAGTCATTCCGATTTACTGCTGATTTTAAGGAATTCATGGTGACCAGACTCGATTAGTCAATAACTAAGTGCCCAAAACATCGCCGGAATCCACTAACGTTTTTTTACACTATGGTGACTGGTGCCACGCGGAGTCTTGGGAGTTGCCGGTATTCAGCATGATTGAGTAGCTCGTTGCGATGTGGCACAGCGCATCCTCAACCTGCGTGCCACTGGGATATAAACAACGTACTCCCTCTCCGCCATGCCATGCGTTGAAGGACTCAAGGCACCCATACCGTTTTGTCTTTCTTCGGGATCCACTAGCAATGCGCCTCCTCCCTTTCCACCTTGTATCAGGTCGAACACACGGCCCCTGTTTTGCGGGATTATTCATGGTGTTCTTCGTTCACTGTGTTCATACATCAGCTACCGAACTGTTTCATACAGCACTTCTTATAAAGTCTATTGAATATCTGTTTCTTAGACCATTGTTCGTCCTTTATTCAGCTCGCATCCTTATTCACCGGTCAAATTCGCCTCTGGTTTCCTTTTTTTTCTAGCTACGCGAGCATTCTCACACAGTGGCCAATGTGACGAAACAGTAGCCGATCACCTCGGAGTCACCGCCCTCACCATAGAGATGTTACGCAACAATCGTCAAAAACCCATCAGTTTAACGTCCTTTCTCGGTCATCCACTTGTCGACGATTCGGCAGCCCCTTCGCAAGACTGTATTGGTTTGTCCGGACTTAGTCTACAATACTGCCATGCAAGACTGTGCAGGCAAGTGCCAATTCTTTTAAATAATCCACTGAATCTGTGTTATTTCTTGTCTTTTTTTAACCCCCGGTCTACAAAGCCTGCCTGATTAAGTGCCAAAGTTTTCATCCGACTAGTTCATCTGAATACTTCCACCCCCTTGTGCACTGTTTTTCTTTTGTTGTGTATTTTCATCGATCATGCAGCACCGCCTCGATATTTTCATCGTCTTTGATATGGGCAATATACTTAATGTCCTTATGCTCTTCATCAGCTGCTTGTATGCCTACACTAGCTCCAACCGTCTCCAACGTGGAACTTTCCTTGATTCGGTCTTTGCTTTCCATTCATTTGACCTCACATGCATTATTTATCAAGGGTAGGTGCACTATCAAAAAATCCTCAGTGTCCTGAAAGTTCTTTAGCGTGGCTCTGTTAACCGTTTGGGGACAGTAGGTAGAACTGCGCTAAGCTGCTTCGTATGCCTATCGTCCAGCGTTCGATTCATGCCCATTGGCCACTTTCATTGTAGCTTTACGTGGGATGTCACTACTTATGGGTAGCATGCAAATCTACGGTTGACGACAGTAAGGTTGAGCAATGCTTGGTTCCTCAATTGCCGTACGTCTCTGGCACCACAAGAGTTATTGTAAACGTGACCATGTGGAGAGAGCGTGAACTGTTACTATGACTACACATGGCTATACAAAGTAAAACATGCCTAATATAATGTTCTTAACAAAATTAATCTGAATATTCTTTCACATCTTAATCATAGTTTTTACAAATTGGATGCCACTTCGTATACTTTTGTTATTGGAAGTGCTTTGTGTTTTACCACTGGAATCAGTCACTACTTCTTCTACCTATATCGTCAATCTGTTCGAGAAGCGTACGGTAACCGTTGCTATCACTGTCGAGATGAGTCGAGTGTCTGTTATTATCTTGAGTATCGTATACCCAGCTGCTCCGCGTAAATCTAACATGGAATGATATTATGTAGCGAGGTGGGGATGTGACAGCGCCACCCTTGTCAGAGCTACGTCTTCACTTTGGAAACCGCACCTTTCTCTTTGGTTTGCTGTGACGTGTACTTGGAGACTTCATCCTGCTCTAATAGAATGCGTGATTCCCGTGTTTGCTCTACCATCGCCTCAGCTCCGTTTAGCAGCTAAGCTGGAAACGGACAGGAAATATGTTGCCAGCGTTGTCACGCGCAAACGCACACACACTTAGAAAGAGGAGGGTGTGATCACTGATCTGGTTGCGGAGTTCAACACGAGATCGGACTCGACTGTTAGGTGACTAAAATAGACAGTTACACAAATTACCTATCTTTTGGTGTATTTGTCTCAAAAAAACTTACTTGATTCTATATGTGCGGTGGTACCACGCAACACGTGAGCATTGAACTCTGTAGCTTATTAATGACCTAGGTACACGCACAGTATGGATCGAACATAATTAAATTACGGTGTGTTTCTGTAATCGGAATTCTAGTCAACGAAATAGTATACAAGACGAAACGCACGACTACGCCTGAAGCGCTCGGGTAGAGATTGGGATCAGCACTAAGTTATAGTGAGGCCAACGGCAGGCAGTGCAGAGTTAGATTGTTTCATCTGGATGAATGGTCTGATCTCACCATCATCATCATCATCATCATCATTATACACGTTAGCTAGAGGTGGGAAACACCTCAGCTACTGTGCCGCAATACATAAAGGAAAAGGAAAATAAATACAACAATTGCATTCCAGCTGAGCTACCAGCAACGGATAAGCATCGTTCTGGTAAGCTGCCATCCGGCTACTATGCAGCATAAAATTTACTATGTAAAATTATATTATGCTAAGAAATGTGATGGTGGTTGGAGGGGGAGGCTGTGAGGGATGGGGTGGGGCAAAGAAACTCACAGCACGAACGCCGCTGAGGTCCGCTCCTAACCATATCAGCAAGTGTATCGAGCCAAACGTGTTCATCGTCTTTCGGACTCCAACCAGGGAGCCGAGACACTTTAACCGAGACCATCTTCGAAATGAGAGTCTTCCTTCCTCTTGGCCAAGTCATCGCTTGGCCACCCCTGCTTTTCTACCACCCACACCCCCAGCGCGCAGACAACGCACGTCGCGGGAGCCGGTGGACTGACATGTGTAACACGTGGCCAAACCATCGGAGCTTCGTGCATGAAATAACGGTGCTGAGCGGTTCCTTTGCTTTTCCTGTGCCGTAAACAAGACCACGACTATGCTCGTTGCTTACTCGGTGTTCCCACCAGATGTGAGCTAAATTGCGAAGGCACCGGTGGTCGAACGTAACTAGTCTATTTATATACACTAATCTAAGGGATAAAGTTCCACAGCCGTTCAGGAGAGTCGGACGCACTGCTGCATCGTACACTTTACCCTTCAGATCGAGAGTGATGTCACGCCGGCGCCATAGGTGGCGAAGGCTATCAAAAGCGCCTTGAGCTTTTGCTATTCGGTTCGTGAATACATCTTCGATCCCAAGGGCGCTGATACAAATTCCCAGGTAGTTGGATTTTTAAACAACTTCTAGCTGATCCCCACCAAGGGTCGGCGAAGGAGGCGGTCCAGGTAAAGCTTAGAGGAACGCTTTGCACTTCAACGGCGCGAAGCAAAGCCTGAAGTGACGGACAGTTTGTGCTAATCTGTCCAGAACCGCTCGACAAGTTTGTGAGCTGTCACAGATTAGAGCAATATCGTCAGCATACTCAAAGTCAAGAAGTCGTTCTCCTGGGAGCAGATCCGCACCTTCTAAGTCGTGTACTGTGAACGCGATTTCCATGACTTCGTCAATATCGAAGTTGAAGAGGAAAGGTGACAGCGGGTATCCTTGTCTTACACCGCTGGAGATATTGAAAAACGACGACAGCTGGCCGTAAACCCTCTGCCCGCGCTACGCGCGTATAATGCTCGGATAATATTTACATATTTTTCGGACACACCTTTTTGACTAGGCAATCCCAAAATTAACGTCTATCCACCGAATCGAATGCACCTTTGATATCGAGGAACACGACAACGGTGGGCCGCCAATATATGTGACGGTGCTCCAACAACTGACGCAAAGTGAAGATGTGGTCAATGTAGCCGCGACCTCGATGAAATCCAGAGGGCTGTTCGCGAATATGGCTTTCACAAGTGGCAATCAGACTGTGAAGGATGACGGAGGCAAGCAATTTGAAAGCGATGATGATCAGACGGATTCCTTCATGGTTGCCGCATTCCGATCGTGAGCCTCCCTTGAAAATTAGGACTAAGACGGAGCGGCTCCAGTCGGTTGGGACAGTTTCCTGCTCACACAGTTTCACTAGTAATTTGTATGAATCTTCCACAAGAGCAGGTCCCCCGAATTTGAAGGGGACTGGAGGAAGATCATATGGTCCCGCGGCTTTATTTCACTTCAGCAGCCCGATCTTACGTTCGACTTCTGAGCGAGAGGGTGGATCCTAAGGGATAGCCCATGGAGCTGGGCGGTCAGTGGCCGACGAGAAATCTAACAATTTCGGCAAATTAAATTGTCTTTCAAAGTGCTCAGCTCAACTCTGCAAACGTTTTGACAAATTGTGGATAGTCTGTCCACTCTCGTTACGTATAGTTTCACTAACATTAGGTCTCCTGCTGCCCGTTTCCCGTATCAGCCGGAATAAGTTACAATGGTTACCAAGAGCAGCGGCCATTTCCATTTCTGAAGCACGATGACACCACCAGGATTCGCGGTCTCTTTTCAGGCTAGCACGGGTTTTGCCCAGCGTTCTTTGCGAGTTTCATTGTGAGCTGATCTGAAATACTCGAATTAGGAACTTTTAGCATTTGATGGTGTGACTGGTTACTCAAATGGAAATATTTTTGCTTGTGGAAGGAGTGGCAGTTTTCGCAACCTGTACACAGTATTGTATCGTAGCCGACTTCACACCCCACGACCACGGCGAGAACACGAAGACCAGCCTGGACCTCGTTGTACACACGAGAGACGTGCTTCATCTAAATAGGATATAACGGTAGTTGAAACAAGCCTGCTAAACACGTTGGAGCCAGCCATTAGCATACGAGAGAAGAAGGAACCAATCACGCGATTTCGATGAAACGGTATTAGCGGAAATGGGCTCCTGAGACAACATTCATCACGAACGATGTAGGCCAGCCAGTCAAATCAATGATGTGTTTAAACAAATGCCAAGAAAGAAACAGTAGCGAAACGAATGCAAGTAACTAGGGATTGTCACAAAAAACTATTAGAAATCCGTGAGAATATTTGTAGCTCGGGATGCAGATGAGGGTATGCGGGTGTTCTCCGAGCTGGCTGATTTGGCTGCAAACGTTTCATCGTCAGACTAGACATCATCAGTGCGATTTAGGCAGGCCACTTACAGATCCAAGTCTGTAAGTGGCCCGCCTAAATCGCACTGATGATGTCGTCTAGTCTGACGATGAAACGTTTGCAGCCAAATCAGCCAGCTCGGAGAACACCCGCATACAAAAAAACTATGTCCATAACGCAGGCTCAATACTCAGTGCCAGTGAGTAGGCACAGCATCACCATGTGGCTCGCGTGCTGCCCCCTTCACGCTGCATATGAACGTTTCATGCGGACTCAACCGTCTTGCGTCAGTACTATCACTTGGTTGTGATGCTTACTACTACTGCACGATCGCGCTTGTTCTGCATTTTCTCTTCCTGAGTCTACAGACGACTGTAGTTTTCACTTTTTTTGGGCACCCTGGCCGGGGTTGACGAGGTACATGTTGTTCTCTGTTTCACCCATGACGTATGCTATCTTGTCGTTTACATTTGTTCGAAATGTCAACTTGGGATACACCTATCGCAAAAGCTGGTTGGCTAACACAAGGGTCAATGTCTCTGGTAGACCGCTAAATGTTGCCGTTCACGACGAGTCTTCGTGGCAATGCGAGCTTCGCTGATTAGCATCATCAGGGAATACGGCACGCACCTGTGTGGATGCATTATCATGTAATTACCACTAGGTGTCGTCCGACTATA